CAAAAATAATATAAAAACAGGGAGGGGGACAAAACAGAAAAGATTCATGGAGAACAAAGGGTTATGGGAGGGGTTGTGGGAGGGGAGATGGGCTAAATGGGTAAGAGGCACTAAGGAATCGACTCCTGAAATCATTGTTGCAATATATGCTAATTTGGATGTAAATTTAAAAAAATAAAAAATAAAATGAAATCACAAAAAAAAGAAGAAATAGAAAATCTGAATAGCAGGAAACAAGGAAAGAGTTTGAGTTAATAATTTTAAAATGTCCCACTAAAAACAAAACAAAAAACTTGCCACTAATAAAAGCCCATTATCTGATGGCTTTACTAGTGAATTCTGCCAGATGTTTAAAGATTTATCATGAACTCCTCCAAAAAATAAGAAGGGAGCACTTCCAAATCATCCTGTGAGGCCAGCATTACCCTAATACCAAATGCTGGACAAAGATGTCATAAAAAAAGAAAACTGCAAGGCAGTATCCCTCATGAATACAGATACAGTAGCCCTCAACAAAATATTAGCAAACCTGGTCTACTAACATTTAGAAGTAATGCAAAGTTGGTTCAAAATATGAAGAAAACTCAGTCTTTATAAACCTTATTAGGATAAATAAACACAAGATTATCTCAAAAGACACAAAAAACAATACCCTTTAATGATTTTTTTAAAAACGTCTCGAACTAGGAATAGAGGCCTGATAAAGGCATTTATGAAAAACTTCCATGTAATGTCATATTTAATGGTGAAAGACTGTTCTCTTCCTGAGCTCAGGAATAAGATGAGGATTCATTCTCACCAGTGCAATTCAACATTGTACTAGAAGGTCTAGCCAAGACAGTTTTAGAAGAAAAACACATAAAAAGCATCGAAATTAGAAAAGAAATTAAACTAACTGTATTTGCAAATGACATGATCTTGCATATATAACATCCTGAGGCATATACACACAGACATGTGGCACACGTGTGTGTTCAGTGTCACTGGTCATTAGGAAAGGATAACTTAGGACCCAGTTAGCTATCAGTACACACCTGTTGGCACAGCTAAAAAAAAATATTGGAAATACTGAATGATGGTGGATGAGAAGAAATAGTTTCATATGTTGCTGGGGGGAATGTAAAGTGGTACAGGCACCCTGGGAAATATTTTGGCAGTTTCTTAGAAAATGTAAACATAACCATAGTACTCTAGGTGTTTCACTTCTAGGCGTTTATTCCAGAGAAATGGGATAGTCCGTAAACCTTTGTGGTAAGAACAAATGTGACAGTTCCAGTGTAGCCAAAGATTGGGGGAGATGGTGAGTATTTTCAACAAACAGTCCTGGAAAGCTGTGGGACAGAGCCTGTAGTCTGTATAGTTTTTTACATCTTTTTTCCCTATTCCTCCACCTTCCTTTGGCACATTTATTTTTCTTGGTTGATTCTTTTTTTTTTTTTTAATCTTTTTTTAACATTTTTTTATTTTTGAGAGAGGAGTTGGAGAGGGGCAGGGAGAGGGAGACAAAGAATCCGAAGCAGATTCCAGGCTCTGAGCTGTCAGCACAGAACCCGACGCAGGGCTTGAACCCACGAACTGCAAGATCATGACCTGAGCCACTGTCAGGAGCTTAACTTACTGAGCCACCCAGGTGCCCTTTTCTTGGTTGATTCTTAATGTGTGAGTTGGTTGAAGAGAATTTTAAATGTTGAGTGGTGAATATAGGTGCAAAAAGACCATCATCTTAAAAAAAATTGTGTCTTATGTTAACATATCGTGTATGTGTGGATTTTTCTGAAACTTTCACATGTATTTTCATAATTTGGCGCTGGTTCAGAACTGTGGGCACCTCAAGCGAGCTCACAGCAAAGTGGGATCCGCCTGCCTCCCCAGTCTGTCCTCATGGACTCATTCCATTCCTAGTTCCCTTTATTTTCTGAGCCAGAGTGACTGACTTGATCTATGCTTGTTCCTCTGTAAAATTCCTGAGGGCTGTTCTGACTGGTTCTAGGAGTTTTTTCCTTCGTGTGCACAGCTCTGTAATTTAGGTGTCTAATAACAAACTCCTTTGTTTTTGCTTATAGTGGGGTCTCCCACAAAGGCAGGCAGCAGGGTTGTTTACATTTTTATGTAATGTGGTCCACTCAGGCCTCCTGGCCTCCATCCTTTGTGCATGTTGTGTCTCTCTCTTTAAATTCAAGGAGAGCCGTAGGTTTTGATCTGAAGAAACCTAGAGTATGGGGCAATGTAAGAAAAACAGGTTTTTGGATCAGGTTGGGTAAATTTTGCTTTGGAGTAGCTTTGCATTAAAATGTGTACAGTGGAGTAGAGATGAATAATGTCTCCTCTTGGTAGGTTCACGTAGGTTGGCTGTGTCATGAACTAGAATTTTTTTTTTTTTTTTGCTTTGTTTTCCAGGTGCTGTGAAAATTAACTATTATTATAACTACTAAAGGTCAGTGGGAGGTGAAATTAACTAAGATCATATCAGAAAGAGTTGCATTTGCTGCAAACTGGAAGTGAATTGGATAGTTTTTTCTCTTGTCTATAGTTCCGCTTGTAAGAGCTGGACTGCAGGGGTGCGACCTGACCCCTCCTGTATTGCCGATGTGTGTGCAGAGGAGGCCAAGAAGGAGATTGGAATTACAAAATCAGAATTTCCTGGAGGGCTTGGTTTTGCGACACTTCAGGGAAGTGACGAGAGATTTGTCAGAGGACAGAGGTTGGAAAAGCTAGTTTATGGCCTTCGGTCTTCGGGGATCCTCTTGATAGTGTCTCTCCACAGGTGTGCGTCTCATCAAGGTTTGTTTCCCCACCCCCACCCCAGGGGCAGGATGGAAGGCCGGTGGCGCAGGAGCAGTAACAAACGCTTCCCAGAATCCTTGTTTATGCTGGGTGGTGAGCACTATTGTGGGTCACCTACTGTGGGTGCACTGCTAGAGACTTCTTTGACCTGTCACGCTCCAGGTGAGCCTTGTGAATTGTTGAGCTATTGTGAACACCTCTGCTACTTGGGCCAGCAGCTGCTACCTGCTGGCTCCTCTATCCATTTCCTATTGAATTGACCCACAGAGGATTCTTTGTATTTCCTTAGAGGGTTGCTGGACTGGAAAATTGCATATGCACCGAAGGCTTGTGTTTCCAGGAAGGTGGAAAGATTGGCAGCCATTTGTCTTCTTGTGAATTGGCTGTCGTGTGACTCCTTTTGCTTCTCGTTTCTGGTCTTGACACTGCTGAAGAGTCACCTCTTTGGCCTAGGTTTCCATCAGTGAGCCTGATCAAGCCAAGACACAAGTCCCAGCAGGTTCCCTGTAGCGCAGACCAAAGAAAACAGCAACGGGGAACAGGAGAAGTAGGTTTATTCTAGGGTAACATTGGAGAGCTCAGTAAGGAAGGGAATTCTAGATCCCTGGCTTCTGCTGGAGTTTTCTATTCTGAATTTACTGGTTTAAGGTTTTCTGGTTGGAAGCAACAGAACTTAATTTTGACTCGTACAAGCAGAAAGGATTTATTGGAAGGATATGGGATGGCTCACAGACTGGAAAGAAAAAGCTGTGGAGCCTCATCTTCAGAAAGTGCTGGTGTCAGAGGAGCCGTGATCTTAGGAGCGGGAACCTCTTGGGGTTGAATAAGCACCACCACATCCAGTTCCTGCTGCTGTCTGTTCAGAAGTCAAAGTCCAGGGACAAAGGCCCAGCCGGCCTGGTGTGGGTCAGGGAGTGGCACCTTGACTGACAGTCTGTCCAGGCCCAATCCTGTGGAGGGAGGTGGTTCCCTTGTGCCAGAAAGAAGACAGCTGCTGGGCAGGCAGCAACAGGATTGTGTCCCAGGAACAACTGCCTCACCAAGAGCAGCAGCTTCCACCTAATGATGCAGCCACAGTGAATTTGTTTTCTATCAGGAGCCTGGGTTTTTTGGTGTTTTTATGTTAAAGGCTGACTCCACTGAACATTTTTTTTTTTTTTTTTTTTTTTTTTTTTTTTTTTTTTTTGAGAGAGCGAGTGCACAAGTGGGGAGGGGTAGAGAGAGAGGGAGAAAGGGAGAAAGAGAATCCCAAGCAGGCTCTGCACATTCAGCGCAGAGCCTGATGCGGGGCTCAAACAAACCATGAGATCATGACCTGAGGCAAAACCAAGAGTGGGACGCTTAACTGACTGAGCCACCAAGGTGCCCCTCCACTGAACATTCTTTACCAGTGGAACACTGTGCAAGAATATGTTTTCTGAGGGGTCACCTCTGTGTGAAGTTTTCCCCGAAGGATTTCTGTCGATCTGCCTGTGCCTAGAGAAAGGTGGGGAGGGTGGCCAGAACACCCCTCTGTCAGAGGGCAGCTGAAGGTGATATCTGTTACTCAGCTGTGCTTTCTTGTGCCACCTGTGAGAACAATGCCCTGTCTGGGGAGTGGTCTTTTTTTTTTTTTCCAAGAGAGAGGGGGCACACATGCGTGTGTGCGCATGTGAACAGGGGAGGGGTAGAGGGAGAGAGAATCCCAAATGGGCTCTACACTTAACTCGGGGGCTTGATCCCACAACCCTGGGATCATGACCTTAGCCAAAATCAAGAGTCAGACACTCAACTTGACTGAGCCACCCACCCAGGAGCCCCTGGGGAGTGGTCTTTTAGAAATTCCTTCTATGGAAGAGGGTTGAGAGTTTGTTATCAGAACTAGAGGGGCAGTCTTTTGGCCTCTTTAGTTAGACTGACTTAGAAACTGCCCACAGTCACTAAGAGCTGACTGGGGGGGGGGGGGGGGGGGGGGGGTGTGTGTGCGCGCGCGCACGTGTGTGTTGGGATTGATGTCTCCAGATTTTGCATGTGGGCATCCTGAAACATGTCTCCACCCACGTCACAGCTGCCTCCCCCAGCAGCCCTAGTGTGCAGAACCAGTACTAGCTGTTAATGTTGACTTTTCTCCCTTGCCAGGTATCTGCAGATGGTGTCCATTGTCAGTGCTGTCCAGCGTGCACCAGGCTGATCCATGGTCACTTTCCGGGATGGCAGCAAGGTGACTTCAGCTGAGGATGACCCTGACTGAAAGGCTGCGTGAGAAGATATCTCAGGCCTTCTACAACCATGGGCTGCTCTGTGCATCCTACCCCATCCCTATCATCCTCTTCACGGGGCTCTGCATCTTAGCCTGCTGGTATGTTTCTGAGTTGTCCTGGATATGTTGGGCCAGTGTGTTGGGACAGTAGGTTTCCTAATTCTGACTGCTCGGTAGCCCTTGGACTGTGTATACTTTTTATACACTGACTGGCGGCTGGTTGAAGCTGCTGGGTGGAGAGCTCTAGTCCTGGGGTATTTAGCCACTAGACTGAAACAGACCAGTCTGGCCCTGACGTAGGGATTCTCCAGATTTGTTCAAAATTATTTCAGAATAATGTTTAAATGCTTTTAAGAAACCACAAGATGATTGAAAGGCATGATTTTTTAATTTTCCTTCTCAACAGTGACAGTTTCATTTTGGTACATTTTGGTACCTGGTTGAGAGCAGGAGCATTTGAGTGTGTTGCAAAACCAAGTCCATTTGAACAATTTCTTGGACACCCTCGTTCAGGCTCACCCAGAGACTTGGTTCTGTGCTCTCCAGTCATTTTCTTGTGGCCACGAGGAGCCTCTTTCTGATCTCTTGCTGATTCTCAGGGCCAGCTGTGGTCACCAAGGACTGTTGTGGTAGCTGCCTTCCATCCACATCTGTCTTTCTATCACAGGGCCTCACAGAAGCTGAAGGCTGTGGCTTATAAAAGGATAGGCTCGGTGTAAGAAGATATCTGATGGCCTTTTTGGCTCCAAAACACTGACACCCATGAAAAGAGCCAACTGTATGATCCTTGCCTCTGGAAAGAATTCTGGTTTCCATATTCATTGTACATCTGACATTTGTTAGATGTAGTCATTGCTGTGCTGGAAGGAGGATGGCTCAGGACTGAGCTCACTGTTCAGTTTGTTAATGATCCCAAGCTCTTTTCTAATTAAGACTAAGAAAGATGAGCATCTTTCATTGAGAATTTCCTGCTGGGTGCTTCATAATAACCTTGGGAAGCAGTCCAGTTATATTTCCATTTAACCAAAGTGAGGTTGAGGATTGAAGACTTGCATGGTGTGCAAAGTTAATAAGCAGGGACGCTGGGATTTAAATCTAGGCCTAGGGATTCTGGTGCCAGCACTGTGGCACTCTGTCACCCTGACTGTCCTCGCTGTGGATGTGTATTTATACTGACGTTTAAATTTTGTTACATTGTGTTGTATAGGATACTTATGGCTACATCCTATAGGAGATAAATTAGTAGAACATAGCTCTTGTTTTTTCCTCTAGGTTAATTATTTCTTTCAGAATCTCTTTCAAGATCATACTTTTCAAAAATCGTCTCTCTCCTTCAAAATCATACTTTCCCAGTCTTGGCCTGTGTGATAAGTCCATGGCTCTTAAACCTGAGCTAGCAACAGAATCACCTGGACGGCATGCTAAACACAGATTGCTGAGCACCACCCTAGAGTTTCCATTCATCAGGTCTGGGATGAGCCCAAGAATTTACATCTCTAACAAGTTCCCAGGCCTGGGGACCATGTGCTGAGAACCACTAGACTGTGTCTTTCTTGAAAATTTCTCTGAAGTTCTATCACCTTTCAGTGAAAAGAGTTTTCTCTCTTATTCTGATTCTTGGAGCAGCAGTGTGTGGGGACACTCATGGTTATTATCACTGATGTTGCCTTCTGTTGAGGGTGGTAGAACTTAGCTTCCCCTCCACTGAGTTCTCAGCTCCTCGATGGCCTCTTTACACATGCCTCAGCACATGGGAACATGGTAAGAAATACTTGATGGATGAGTACATTGGATTAAACTTGTCTGCTCGGTGAGCAGTTTGAGTTGAGGAGGTGGTAGTTGTGATTCCCCTTCCACAAACACAACTCTGGCTACGGGAAACGGAAAGTACGTTTCCTCTTTGCTGTTCATCTTCTGGGTATTGGGTGTAGCCAGCTGAGACCAGGCAGCTTCCTGGACAGGGAATGTAGGATATGTGTAGCAGCTGCTTGGGTGCAGTTGGGCCTTATCTTTGAATGAATAATTTGATATTACACAAATGTTTCAGAACAGACAGTCCTTGGATTTATGATATGAGGGCCTCTGGTATGAAAACCTTAGGAGACAGCTGACATGTCAAGTTTGGAGAACTCCCTCTTGACTCATGGTGAATTAGAATAGGATGGAAGTTGGGGAAGAGGCAGATGTGATGAAAACAATATTTAACAACCAGTACAGCCCAGATGCAGCCAAGCCTGCCTTATATTTCACAGGTGCTTCTGGCTGAACATCAGTCTAGAGGAAGAGGTGGGTGGTGAGGCTCAGGGTAGGACTAGGCTGATGGGAAGGAAAGGAAGACTGATCTTCATTGACCTCCGGCTTTGTAGGTCCTTTGATGCTTTTCCTTTCACACACACACTGTTCCATTTGGTGCCTGACATCCTTGGAGGGGGTGGTTGTGTCCTAGATTTTTTTTTAAGGGTGATTAAACTAGTGTGGAGAGCTGGTAAGTGGTAAATATTATGACTGGCAGGTCCCTGTGGAAAGCCCTGTACTTTCTCTACTTCACCCAGGTGATAGGAACGTTTTGAAGAATACTATTTGGTGCTGATAGCTTTCATTGCAAGATGTTTGCTCTCTGAACAAGAAGCCTGAGAGAGATGGTCTCAGTTGCAGTGGGCCAGGATTAGGGCCTGGCAGGATCTGCCTAGACAGAGAACAGTCTTTTTGAGGCAGTAGCCCTATATAACAGAAGTTGGGGAGAGAGCACAAAGTTGGGTTTTCTCAATAAAGATAGCTTAAAAAAACAAAAGATGGCCATAATAAATGCCAAGCACTATGCCAGACCAGTGATGCACACATCATTTCTCTCAGAAGTGCACAATTGTGGGTCCAAGACATTGGATATTGTGCCCAGCAGATGTGACCTGGCCTTGGGGCAAAGGGAGACAATGTCAGGGAGGCTTCTTTGGAGGAGAGCCTCTGAGCTGAACCCTGCGGGAAGAGTAAGTGGTGTCTTCGTCTTCATCATTTAAGGTCATCAGTCAGCTCGTTCAGCAAATGGGCAGGGAAGGGAGTATCCCGGCAAGCCCCTCCAAGAACCTGCTACCTCCTCTGGTCCCGCCCTCGGACGGCACCACAGTTTCCTCATGTCTTTGCAGTCCAAAGTTTTTCTTTGAAGAGAAAAATCAGCCTTGTACTCTCCCATTCTTAGTGCTGTGTACTTACTTTCTCAAACCAACATCTTTGTCGAGTTATCTCAAAAGAGTTTTTTAACAACTTTCCTTAAAATCTGATTGGCTTAGGAAACATTTTCCAAGGCTACATGAAGTCTGTTAGCCTCCAAAAATGATAAAGTTTGTATCAGAGAATCCACGGGTTGTGGGTCTTTTGGGGCAGGAGATGAGATGTTGTGGACTCAGGGCACAAGCCTCCGTGTCCTCTTCTGACCCGGGAACCTTCCCTCTGCAGAGCAGCTTCCTGCTTCTGTTCAGAGCCTCGGGTTGCCTGCAGAAAACAGAGTGTGAGTAATAGCATTTAGTAGTTTCATTAGATACCTAGATTCTGTTTAGTTGTTCATCTTGTATTGTTCCTGGAATGAGACCCTTGTGCAGCTTGAACTCAAAGGGCCCCTGCACTTGATGTCCTTGTTCAGATCTGGCAGCCACCTGAGCTGTAGACCCCATTCTTCAGCACTGGACCACCCTGGGAACAGTGAATGCTTTTTCCTCCAGGAAAATCTGATGAAACTTGCAGCACGTAGACACTGGCAAGAGGTGTCTTCACATTTCCTAGAGGTTAGGCCATCAGGACCTGAGGGTGTGGCCCAGCAGCAGCCCAGCAAGGCAGAGGGCGCCGTTGCTCCCATTGCGCCCTGGGATGTGGTGGGTGCACTGTTGGGTGAAGAGAGAGTGCTCGAGTATCAGGCTAGCGGACTGCCTGTGTGCAGAACAGAGGTCAACGTGAGGGTCACTGGGTCACTTGTTGATCCTACAGCCTGCTGCTCATGGCTAGACATGGTGATTTTCATTTGGAGAGCAAGTTAAATCATAGTGAGGCCATTCTAAACCTCATGAAGGACGGTAATCTTGCAAACTATGTGGGTATTCCAGAGCAGGCTTGGCCCCTTTCCTCGTCCATTTTCTCTGGCAGAATGCAGTACCTTTGAGCTGAGGCTGCACATCTCCGTTGCATGGTCTCTGTCCACCTCTCCCCCCATCTCCCCCCATCTCCCCACATCTCAAGTTTCCCCAGATCACTATGAGTCCTTGGGAAGTGTGCATACAGGGTCCTGTTTTAAAGGTTCCTTCTTTCTACGCCCATGTGGTCAGTGTAGACACATTTATATTCTCTTTGTGATCAAGAAAGAAATCTAAGTAACTGAAGCCTTATGTGCAATTGTGCTTTGGAGAGCCAGCTGGGTAGCTGAGAATGAGTCCCAGAGCACCCCTCGTCTGTGCCCTGAAGCCTGCACTTGAGAGCCCAAGGGACCAGCTCCTGCAGCTGCTCCAGGATGCTGACCTGTTCAGCATGCCAGAGCCAAAGCCTCCCCCCAGCAGAAGTTAACTCCTGGCCTCACAAACAAGCTCTGGAAAAGTTCTGAAATGCCTGTGGGAGATCAAAGACTCCTTTACCACCCCAAATTTCCTCAAGCAGGAAAGGGCAGGAGATCTCAGAAATACCGCCTTCTAGTCTTTTGCTACCCCACCTCTAGCCCTGTACTGTTCTCCCCTGAGAGGCGAAGAGAGAAAACATCTCCCACCCTGATGCCTCCAGATAAGTGCCTTGTGCAACATCTCTGAGTGTCATTTCTGAGGCTGATGTTTCCATCTGTCTTCGGCATCTCCTGAACCTCCATCCTAGATGACTGGGAGTGAGGAGGAGTTGAGATTAGAGCCAGTAGCATCCGTGTAATTGTGGGATGCAGGGCAACAGGACAGTGCACGGAAGCTTGGTCAAGAAGCAGGGGAAAGGACCATTAAAGGTCCTAAATATACTTGCATGGGAGTGGTTGAAAGGTCCCCCCTCCCCATCCAAAAGCCCACCCTGGCCCAGGGGATGGCCGTCGCCTCACCCTGCCCCAAGACACAACGTGATGTGTACATCTGACCCCAAGCCCC